GAATTAATTTTAATGATTTACTAAAAAAACAATAAAAAAAAAGTTGTTAAAAATATCTACTCAATTGAGTGTAAAAATCAACTGTTAAATTCAGGAGAAACTAAAAATCTTTTTTTTTTACATTAGTGTTTTATGTAGCAACATGTTCCCAAAAAATTTGGAATATTAGAGCCGCCTGTTAGTAACATACACAAATAATTTTTGATTATGATTTAAGATTTGGCAACTGTTTGTCGCTTTCGCCGATTAATAAAGTTGGCAATTTAAATCGAAAAAAAGTGGCAACAGACACAAAAAAAACACATCATGGTAAAATTAATACCTTCTCAGCTTCACATCGCAGCTAAAAAATTAATTAGGTTTTCATAATACTGGAGGTAAAAATAATCTATTTCAATAGGAATAATCATAACTTTATATATATCAAATTATCAATAGAAAATTAGTCAGAAATCGCTAAACTTACAAACAATAATAAAAGAACAGTTTATCGAAAAACAATTATTAAAGGAACATTTTTTGAAATTTTCTTTCTGTCGTATCATTAAACTAAAAATTGGTTTCCCATTAGAAACAATTTTAAATTTTCAATAGTTTCTAAGAAAATTAGTGTGTTATCCTTAATCAATTACTCTGTATAAATTGAATGAAAAAGTTCAGAAGTAACTTCGATTGAGAATCGCAAGTTAATAATTAAGTGTTATATGTTTTTTTTATAACACATCAATAATAAAAATTATACATATAATTAATTATTTTTTTAGCTTAGAAGGTATTAATTTTACCAAAATATGTTTTTTTTTTATGTCTATTGCCACTTTTTCTCAGCTCTCACTGTACCAATTTCGTATTGTTGAAAGAAATTGCACACTGGGGTACCTCAAAGAAAAAATCTAAAAATTCTGAAATAAAATAAATAGTCTAATGATAGGCTATTAATACTATGTAATAATAGTCGTAATTTTAAACTATAGCGAATTGAAAAACGGTAATTCTTTTTCTTATGTTACCATTTTTAATTTTGGGGATTTCAGTCGCTTGAAATATTCTTTATAAATATAGAACAATACATATAAATAAAATAACGTGATATTATATAATAAATTTAAATTATTTACAGATTAAGGCTCTATTATTATTATTATTATTTATTCATTTGATAGATTACTTACCCTGTCATTTATAATTCCAAAAATGAAGCAAAGTATAAATAATTGAATAACAAAAACTAAAAATGGTGAAATAACTTTAACAGTCTGAACAGAATTAACCATTCCGCCATTAATAAAGTGCTAATGAAATACAAATAAATATATTTTTGTCTATGTTAGAGGAGAATCAGGTAATGATGTGCAGCATTATATCTTAGCAGAACCATATATATCTAAAAAATATATATGGTAAAGACCACAAAAACATATAATAACAACATATCCATTACAAAGCATAAAAATGATCGGCAAGCAAATCTAAATAACCTACAAAAATTTCAAATTCCTATTATCAATATTTTTTGGGATTTAATCTAAAAGGCTAAATCAACAAAACCGATTAAAAATTTTTCATTATTTTTTTACACGTATTTACTTTTGATTTATTTTTAGCTACAATACGAAACTGAGAAGGTATTCATTTTACTATAATGTGTTTCTTTTTGTCTGTTACTATTTCTCAGCTCTCACTGGATCGATTTTGATGAACAATATGTCAAATTATCACAAATCGTATCTAGTTGAAGACATTACCCTTAAAAATTGAAAAAAATTCCCTCGTATACAAAAACTAACATTTTTAACTTAATTTTTGAAAATGTTCTGTAAATACTACATCCTTTAAACATATATCAAATGTAAACTTATGTCATGTACTATAAAATGAAAAAAAATTACATTTACGGGGGGAAATTTTCAAATCGGTAAATTTTGTCATTTTTTTCACTTTCTTTTCTTAAAACTAGCATATATTTTTTAAAAATTAACAAAACAACTTATTTTTTTTTCATTGAAACCTTAAATATTTTTTTTTCAATCAATGTTATTTTTTTGAAAATCTAACACTTAACCTGCTCACAGGGGGGGATTTAAAATATCAAATTTTTTACAAAAACTAGTTTTTTCAACTTAACTTTTGAAAATGTTCCAGAAATACTACATCCTTTAAACATATATCAAATAAAAGCTTATGTCATGTACTATAAAATGAAAAAAAAAAATTATCTCGACACCTTATCTTCTATGTGCAAACGGTTGTAGTTACAAAAATGCTATTTTTGTGTTAAAATTTTCGATTTTAAACTTCAATTTTAAATTGCTATAACTTTTTGAATAATTTATGTATCAACACAAAATTTTTTTCTAAATACATTGTATATTTTTTTTATTTGACATATATTCATTTATACAGGGGGTGTTTAAAATTTACATAACATACGTATAAAAAATAGAACTTTTGAAAATGATGCGGAAATATTGCGTCATTTAAATATGTGTCAAATTAAATCTAACAATAAATACTGTAAGTTAATAAAAAAAATTTATTTTTTGATTTTTTAAAGTTGAAAAAGTAACTTTAAAAATTTAATTAGCTAAAATTACTATTTTATCAATCAATGTAAGTGACGATCTGTTGCCGCATAAGTAACACTTATGTCTTTCACGCTATGGGTACGAGGCTCGAATCCACCTGTAGCAACTTTTTATATTTTGCATCTTTTTAAGTTTTCAAATCATTTGATTTTTATCTTATTTAGATTCATTAACATCAATAAATATCAAGCATCCTATCACTGTAGTCTTCCCTAATGAGAAGAAATTTGTTATTCATGTTAATATTACTTTACTATGTGTTTTTTTTTTGTGACTGCGATCTGTTTTTCAACCCTCAATTAACCTAATTTTTTCAACGATATGTCAAATATTTACAATTCGTATTTAGTTGAAGATATTACCCTCAAAAATTGAAAAAAAATCCCTTAATTAAATGAAAAGTAGCTTAAACAGCTGTATTCATACAAACAATTAAAATCATTCAATAATAACATTTTTAAAATATTTATTGTCGAATTAGATTAATTTTTTATTAATTAAAAATTAGATTAAACTACAAAAGAATATAATTTTACTCTGTAATTTATTAATTTTTTAACTCTATTATATTGTGTATAACTTAGATCTTTTTAACAACTTTTTTTTTATTGGTTTTTTAGGTTAAAGTAAATCATTAAAATTAATTCAGTTCTGCATATTACAATTGTAGAATCTTTTTAAACATCATAAGTTAATTATAATTGATTTTTATGATTTATATTTATGTGATTTATTACGATAAAAATGCAAAAAAAAAAAGTAGAGCTTTTCTGATAAATTTACTGTAAATAGTAATTATAATATTTGCTGAATGCATATTAATCTCAACAATTTTATTTTTTTTAGAATTAAACACTATCTACAGATTTGTATCGATGAGTTCCTAATGATAATGATTTTAATCACTGTCAGATTAAATCTATACTGGACCCAACTATGCTACGTTCTCACTGTGCCACGACCCTATTGTGCTAGTTTTTTTTATATCCATGTAAAACGGCGTTGTCAAAGAGGTATATAAATATTATTTCTCATAAAAAAATTGTATTGATCCATACATTTTTCAAAAAGTTATACCATTTTATAGTTAAAGATGTAAAATATAAAAAAAATAATATACGGTGGAAATGGTTATATTTTCACCTTGATGACAAAATAAAGTCCGAAATTTTTTTTTTTCATAATAAAGTATATTGCATAAGCTTTAATATGAGGTATATATAAATGTGTCAGTATTTTTATAATTTTTATGATTATTGTTTTAAATTTCATAAAATTATTAAATGCTTACTAAATTATTTGTTTCATTGAAAATNAAATGCTTACTAAATTATTTGTTTCATTGAAAGATGTTTTTTGTACTTAAAACTGCCATAACTTTTTCAAAAATGAACAAATAAAAATAATATTTTTTTGTATTGAAACCTTAGATATTTGCCTTTCATTTGATATAATGTTTTTTGAAAATCTAACACTTAATCTGCTTANTTTTAGTAAAAATTACAAATTTTTTACTTTGATAGCCGACTTTTAAAACAGATTAATTATAGAAAGGTTTTTTTTTTAAATTATGTATTAAATTTTAAGAAATTCAGATTAATGTGGTTTAAAATAGGGAGGACGTTTTAGAATATTTAGTTAGAATATTTACATTGAAATTTTATAAAATAATATANCTAGTTTTTTCAACTTAACTTTTGAAAATGTTCCAGAAATACTACATCCTTTAAACATGTAGCGAGGTGTAATATATAGAAGTAATAAACACTTTTAAGATTTAATGACAACTATACTATATTACAACGAACTAACAAATAACAGCGAGAGACGAACTGTATTACAACGAACTAATAAATAACAGCGAGAGACGAAGCACGTGTAAGACAGAATGCGTAAGTGATTGACTGATCGACTGACTGACTGGAGCTAAATTATTTGTTTCATTGAAAATAGGATAATTTTTTAGTAAAAATTACAAATTTTTTACTTTGATAGCCGATTTTTAAAACAGATTAATTATAGAAAGGTTTTTTTTTTAAATTATGTATTACATTTTAAGAAATTCAGATTAATGTGGTTTAAAATAGGGAGGACGTTTTAGAATATTTAGTTAGAATATTTACAGAAATTGAGTTAAAAACAATTTTCTGACATGCGTTACTGGTTTCTTTCATCAAAACCTTGCTGTGCAATGGTTTTCAGTTGATTTTTGCTAAAAAAATATACCAAAAATAATCTTATTGCCTCTACTTTACTCTGTTAAAACTTCATTTAATCATTGTTTAAAAAAAAAGGTATAGCAATGTAGAATATTATTTTTAAAATGTCGTTTTTTATGATAGCGGGTTTTTTTTAATTTAAAAATTGAGGGATTTTTCCTTTAATTATATGACAATTAAAGTAATTACAACAGATATTATATTTAAGCTTGGCATGAAAAATAATGAACTCAGATTAAATAAAATTTAATTTACATTAATATGAGCGCAATTTCTATAGTTTTCCTATGTATTTATTAAAAAAGTTACTATTTCTTACCAACATTCCAGTATATGAAAAAAGTATCAAAGAAGTAGATATTACTACAATTTGGAGCAAAATTAATCGTCCAAATAAGTTATAAAATTGTTCCATCTTTCTAAAAAAAATTCCAAAATATTAATACCACTTACATATTCATTATAAATATAATATCTTTCATTTATATGAACTATTTATTTATTATAATTTATTATTGATCGTTTATGCTAATACACAAACAATTACAGATTATAAGTTGCGACAATCCAAAGCCAAATAAAATATCGCAAATATTACCATAACTATAATATACGCAGTATTCACTCATTAGTAAATATCTTAATACAAATTTTGAATTTGTTAGATATTATTCAATGTTCAGTCAAGATTTTATACAAATATTCCGCTTAAATCGTTTATAAATTGGGGATAGTTCCCAATATTTAGGTACGAAGAATTTGTAAACAGTAATGGTTTTACGCATAGGGGCGTGATGCTCGGGCCTGGGGCGACAAAATGTTTGAAATGTCAAAATTTTAGAGGCGAAAAAAGTAAAGACAATTAATTTCAATAATTTGTTCAGATTAGTTTTTACAAAAAATTGTCTATAGATGATATTAAAATTCAATTCATTTATTTACTTCTTAATTTTTGGGTAAGATGGTAATTTTTTAATAGATCAATTATAGTCTATATTGAGTAATGTTCTTTACTTTCTATTCCTTTAGTGAATTTAATAATAAATTCACGTAAAATTACAAAATCTGAATGACTTCTTAATTTGTTTTTAGTGTGAAATAAAAATTCCGTAAATTTGCATGTATTGAATATCATTTTGATATTTATTCAAAAGTGTCAGAACATTTTTTGTTCATAAAAATAATTTTCCATGAGAAATATATCCTATCTTATTCAATATTTGAATCATCAAAATAATTGGTAAAAAATTGAAATTTTTAAATAAATATCGACAAAAAAAATTCATTCGATAATCCAATAATGCAAAAATGTTCAATTACATCTACAAATTTCAATTATTTCCGAAAATCCAAGAGCAAGAATTTCGAAATTTGTTTAAATTTATGTAAGCTGATTTATATTAAAGTGGTTTATTTATAATTAGATTTATGTGCTTATTATAAGTACAAATAAAAATTTTTAAGAATTTTATTTACTATCGGAGTGTTTTATTTATGTGATCGTAATATCAATTACTTCAGAGAAGAGGGAGTATGTGCATTATCGAGACTTATAAGCAGTTTGGGTGAGTGAATTTCACATGTTTGCAGGAAACAAGAGCGCCGTACTTAACATGCACTGACGCGTTTAATATTGTTTTGTTTAGTGTATAGAACGAAACATCGCGCAAAGTCACATCGATCAGTTTATTTTTACAAATGTTCTTCTTGTGTACAAGTCTTGAATTATTTTATTATGTTTCTTAAAATTCAAAAAATAATTGGTTGATAACTTTATATTATATATTGGTTTTTATAACTTATGGTATTTTGATTTTATTTTTTAATTAAATATGAGTGGTTACTGAAAGAAATTTTGTGGTGCTGAAAATCGTAAAAGAAAATCAGAAGAATCTACGAAAATAAATAATTTACTTGAACAAGTTTCAAAAATATCTAGTTTCATGACAAGCTCAACTAAATCTTCTAATAATGACAAACAACCATCATGTTTAACGGTCGTACATATTTTGTAATGATTTCCAATAACTTTTTAGCTTCGATGCGAAGCGGAGAAGGTATTAATTTNTTTTAACTTTGATGCGAAGCTGAAAAGGTATTAATTTTACCAGGATGTGTTTTTTTGTGTCTGTTACCAACTTTTCTCAGCTTTGACAGAATCGATTTTGATGAACGATATGTCAAAAGATTACAAATCATATCTAGTTAAAAACTTTGTTCTCGAAAATTGAATAAAACTCTCGTTTTCCATAAAAGGGTAAAGTATCCGAAAAAATAATTACTTTTAAAATCGACAAACTTCGACATTTTCCATGATTTTTTTGATGAAAATAACCATAATTTTCCGAGAAATAAACAAATAAAAATCCTTTTTTTTTATAAATTCGTTAGATATATACCTTTTATTTGGTTCATTGTTTTTAAAAATTGGCGCAAAAAAACTTACGAATATATGTTTTGTGTTTAATTTTTGTCTTAGTGATATCACTAATAATATTATTGTGCCGCATCCTTTCAAGACGTCAGTGCCGGAACATATTTAGCTACCACAATACCGCCTTTATAAAATTTTTACATAAATATAAATATTTTTGAATTTTGTTTTGGCCAGGCCAGAGGAAAATTTAAAAAATATTGCCCTCGATCTCTCAATAAAATATACTCTCTCAAAACTATACTTATTACAAAATTATATTTCAAATAAAAAGTATAGTGTTTAGAATCTTTTACAAAAAAAAATCAGTCATAGATTTTGTGTAATCAAGTTATATTATTTAAAACTTAAATCATTTTTGTAAACAATTTTATTAACTATACAACGCTTAGTTTGAAACATATACGCAGTGCATTTAATACACAGAATAAACTTTGGATTACTTAAAATATTATTACATGACATAAGGTAAGTACAATTTAACCTATGTTTTCCAACCACAAACAATCTATCGCGTAATAAATCATTAAGATAAATAGTACATTTTTAAGGGATATTTAACATTATTTATTCAATGTTATTCAACTCCCCAGATACCATATTTATCCTTTCTACAATTTATCCCTTTTAAAAATTTATTAATCTTTTAATAATTTTTGCTAATTAATAACCTTACCCTTACATCATCCTTTTTCCTCTTTTTTTTATTTCTATTTTTGGTTAATAATATTAGACCCTGTTCAAAATATTTTTTGTAAATAATTTATGTATTTATTTAAATTATTAAACGGACCATATCCATTAATGACACAATGTCTAACTTAATCAGTTGTTTTTTAACGTATTGAAAGAAGATAAGTTTTTAAATATTTGATGTAACCAAATATTCAACTTAAAGGCTTTAAATTGTTGATACTGATAAATGCATAAAACTTACCTAATAACATTTTGAGTGTTGTAAATAATATTTTTCAAGTCGCATTTAACTTTCTCCTGAAATTCCTTAACATTGATACCTGTTAAAAATAACTTTATAGTAAAGAAATACAGGTTTTTATAAAATAATTTATCCAACTTATGAATATCAATATACGGTGTGATTTTTTTATCATAACTCAATCAATTACTTACAAAATAAATATAATTTTAAACATTTTATCTTTATTGATATCAATCAATAAATAACTCATTGTTAAGTGGTATTAAGTCAGAAAAATAACAATACATGCTATTGATCGATTCAATTATCATAAATTAATGATCTAATATATTGATATCCAACATTAAGTCACCTTTTTTCTGATGATAAACTTGTTATAGTGTCTGATGTATTGTTCACAAATTATTCGCGAGTAGTTTTTGTGTACCTGTAGATCAGCATTTTCATAAATTTTAATAAAATTTATCTCTTATATTTCACCTAGAATTTATAAACATAAAAATGTTTCTGCCTACGGTAATGTAGCAGTAAGTAAGCTATATAAATTGAACTAACGTATCTAACTAAATGCTATTTTTGTTTGAAAATTCTCGATATTATTATATTTTACATTTTTAATTTTATTATGCTATAACTTATTGAAAAATGTATGGATCAATACAATTTTTTCATGAGAAGTAGTATATATATACATCTTTCATTCGACATACTTTTTTTTAAAAATAACACCATTTCCCTTTATATATTTATATATTCATATATTACACTTATAAAACATAAAACTTGTAATCAGGATATATATATATGGAAATAGGAGATCATGTAGCTTTTGGAATAATCCACTAATTTTTAAAATTAAACACTATCTACAGATTTGCATCGAAGCGTCTTTTATGATAGTGATTTTAATCTCTCTCAGATATCATTATACGTGACCCAATTATGTCACATTACCGCTGTGTCGCGACCCCCCTGTGTTGGGGGTTTTTTATTCTAGTCCTTTCATAAAAGGTCTTATGAGATAGTGCTAAATGATGTACAAAATCGTGCATCCTTCTCGTGGTGTATATCGAGTAATGCCGACGGTTCTATCATTGTTCAATAGTTTTATAGATTTATAATATTCGATTTCGCTGATCAAAACCATTCTGAATATTTGTGACGAAATATATTACTATAGAATTCCAAAGTTAACTTGTGCACGTGTGATTCAAAACTTGCTCAGTTGGTTTCGTTTGATATGGGGTTTTGGGATTATGAGGTTATGATTGTGGGTGATTGTGTTGATTTCAAAATGTTAAGGGGTTTGATATTAAGGGTTTATCGTATATTACGGTTATTAGAAATCCTGGTCCGATAGGGGTTATTTCGGCCTCAGATTCGGATTCAGCGACCTTAAAAACATATAGTAAACATGATCAGACTCTCGAACCCGAAAATTGATTTTTTTTTTGTGTATGTAATAAATACTGTGTACCTGCGAATATCAATATCATATAAAACCAATTAGCTACCTAGATTTATAATCCCTTGTGTATTATACATGTATATTAACTCAAAAATTTGATACTTTAAATGTTTAAATCTAATAAACAAATAAAATTATACTAAAAATTTAAATGCCATCTACTATTAAATTCAAAATATGTGTTCCCATTTAAAAAAACAAAGTTGACATCCTTACCAGGCATAAGGGATGAACTTATAAAGTATTACATAGTTAATAATTCAAGAATAATGTGTTACTAAAGATAACCCCCCAAAAAAAAAAATGATTAAAATTATATTTATTCTGTAAGTAATTGAGTGGGTTATGATAAAAAACCACTCTGTATATATAAATTAAATATTTTACTAAAATAATTTGATTGTTTTTATACTAGTTACTTTGTCGTAATATATTTTCTTTGTACAATCCAACATTTTCAAAGCTATCGTTAATCACTTCTAATTGACCTGTTATTGATAAACATATTGATATTAAAATTATATCTGATATTACTTCAAATAAACAGCCCAAAAAACTATATAAAGTCTCGATTTAGTGAAAAATTGGAAAAAATGTATTATAGGTATCTGCTGAAACTAAAAAATACAAATTGTAAACATTTAAATGATAATTACTGTATGTACCATCATGGTTTTTTACAAATATGTAACTATTATTAAAAACATATCCACATGATGACCAAATTAGTAATAAAGAAAAAGTTAATATTGCAATCAAATAGGTAAATTTTATTGATATGTCTCGCCATATGTTCAGAATATTTTTATTATAATTTTCAATGGTTAAGAACTCAAGATTAGATATTTTTAAGATATCCCAAATAATTTTAGAATCTTTCATAATTAAACACATTCTGTAGATAGCAAAGAGCAAATTCTGTAATACAACAAGCTGTAATGTAAATTGAGTTATGTCATTTTTCCAGTGGTACAGTCCAAACAGAAGGAACGTCGATATTGCTGCAACGTAAATAATACCGAATTTCATCAGAAAACAAAAAAAATTAAGACTTTTTTCCGTTTTTGGATTTAGAATATAGTAGTAACCAAGAAATTTTCCCAATCGTATATTAAAAATCCAGTTTTCATATTTGTTTATTTCCATCATATTTTCTTTTCAGCTACAAAAAAATGTATAAAATAAAATGTACAATGAAAAATTAATAGTCATTTATTATATTACATTACCACTGCAAAGTTAATTTTCTTTTATTAAGCTACACCGTTGATAAGTAAAATCAAACACAGACTACCCTATAATAGCTATTATATCTAAAGCGCATATTTTAATATTTTAAGTGGGTGACATTAGTGCCACCTGGTTGTTAATGGTTGTATCTTATTTACTACAAAAATAAAACAATTTTTTAGATTATTATTTGAGAAAACTAAGATTATTTTTAGGGGTTCATTTTTTAGTTCAACAAGGTCAGTTTACCAATTTATAACGGGTTAGATTGGATTAACATTATCAAAAATAAATCTATTTGCGTCACTAATTACAATTTTGAAATTAAAATTAATTGAAATTAAAGAAAAACATAAAGGGCACTATTCAATTTCCTCCAGTAAATTCCTCCAATTAAACATATTTTCTATTGGAAAAAAATATGAATAAATTTTAATATTAAAGCATAAAATATAACTATTCAATAAATGAATGTTTAATAAACATCCAAAATAGCAACATATAGGATTTTTTAAATTACCAATTTAAATATACTTTTACTTTTGCCATAATTCCTTAAAGGAACTTGATATCAAAATTATAAAAAAAAACCCTGTATAAAGGAAAATTGTCCAATTTAAATAAAATGTATGTTAAATGAAAGAGGTATAATAAAGAGGTTATATGATGTATTTAGAAAAAAATTTTGTGTTGATACATAAATTATTCAAAAAGTTATAGCAATTTAAAATTGAAAGTTTAATATCGAAAATTTTAACACAAAAATAGCATTTTTTTAACTACAACCGTTTGCACATAGAAGATAAGGTGTCGGGATAATTTTTTTTTTTCATTTTATAGTACATGACATAAGCTTTTATTTGATATATGTTTGTGGCGGTCGAATATTCTAGAATGTCCGGCCGCCGCCGCCTCTAGAAGATTCGTCGCTCTACATAAGCGTGTGGCGGTCGAATGTCTAGAGAGTTCCGACGCCGCCTCTAGAAGATTCCTCTGACTATTTAAGGGCAAGATCGTCGCTCCAGTCAGTCAGTCGATCAGTCAATCACTTACGCATTCTGTCTTACACG